GCTCCAGTTCCACAGCTAGGTCCCAGATGCCTGAAGGAGGGGAAAGGCAGTCTCGGGGGTCTAACCTCTGTATAGAGGTCTTCTTTGTCATCCAGGTATTCCAGCGTTCCAGCAGGTGGTCTCGTCCAGGAGTGGTGGTCTTCTTCAATGGAAGCTTCATGACTAGTATCCAGATGCTCAGTGTGGCAGTCATGCCTCGGCTGCATCTTCAGGGTATTCTATTGTTCCTAAGTCAGCTTTCGCTGAGCCCAGGAGCCATTATCTAAACTATGATGAACTTTATCTTAAATTTTACTTTTCTTTCATTATTATGTATGACATCCGTCATTGATGTAAGTGCCGTGGTGGGGTGACATCTAAAACTTTTCACTGTATTATTCATGTGTACTTTTACATGATAATACATTTCTATTCTATTCTAGTTAGAAGGATGAAAGAGCAGTCTGAACTTGATAATGTGCATTTACTTTTTTTCTGGGGTGGCCTGATTGTCTATTTTCCTAAGGTGCAATCATATTGAGTTAAATTCATTACACTGAATTTCTATCGTGTTATCCATAATGCATTTTGATATAAACTTGGTTTTGGTTTCTGTTGCTTCTGTGATTTATCCCATTACAACGAAGTAGTTATTAATCTTACCTAATGGGAGTGCGAAGTGAAATGGAGAATTAGTTAATTATAGAGGAGAACGAGGCCAAAGAGTTGGATGCCAATTAACAGTAACAGGGAAGAATGTAAGGAAAACTAATGATTTAAGAATTGTTCCCTTTTCCCCTCATACAGTAATAAGTCAAGAATTTTTGGTTGGCCACAATCCAAACAAGAACCAGTACAAGCTTGTACAGGTTTGTACAAACTCATTGCTCCGAATGAATACTGGATTGAGTGAAGGTGCATGGGCTATGCATCCTACACTTCCATTATGCTTTACTTAGGTTTAGTTTCTCCACTTCTGTTTCAGACAGACAATGGACAGCAAGATTCTATCACAGCTACAGTCCACTGCCTTCTTTTTTGCTTCTGCTATGCTCTTGGGAGATCTGCATCAACACACATTGCCAGGTTTTCTTTGGTCATCCCAATCTTCATCTTCCTTGGTGGTATCTACTATTGAATTGACAGGGCATGCATCAGAGGTGAAGGATGTGTCCTGCCAGCATCAATCATCTCTTCACCAAGATGTTCTGCAGGTGCCTCTGACCAGTCCTGATTAGCACTTCATCATTGAGTATCATACGTAGAAGTAGTAGTGCCAAAGCATTACAACTGGCTGTGGTGGTGAAAGATGTCAGCTTGAGTGAGAGCTGTGCTGTTCTCTTCCACATTTCATGGCCATAGATTGCTGTTGATATTAGTAACGATAGAGTAGTTGCTTCATGCCTACACTGCAAGGAGTCATTGAGAGACTAATGTTCCGTTGCCAAGTCTTGCTTTGATGTCAATCTCGATCATCCTACCCAGGAAGTAATACCTTCGGGGAAAAGAAGGGGTTGACTCCTCAAAGTTCTGTGCCAATTAGAAGTGGCCTTATTGCCATCTAATTGTCAATAATGTGGACTTTGAAGTACAGCATAACTCCAAAGGCAGGTGGTCAGGTCTTGGAGCAAGCATGAATCTTTGGCTAGCAAAGCAAATATGGTCTGCAGAATTGGAGTCAGTGTGTTGGAAACGATGGTGTTGCCACAGAATGTCAAAGTCTGTGTCTACAATCTCCTTCATATTGAAATCAATAACAAAGAAGAAAAAGAATGGCAAAGAATGCAGTCTTGTGGTATTCTCATGATGATATCGAAGGAAGCCTTGGTGTCGTATTGGTCTCGACAAAACTGCTGAAATTGCATAATAAGACTTTGAAGATGTTAATATACCAAGCAGGGATGCTGTGCTGGTTTGCGATGTAATAGAATGATTTGCTAATACAGGCTATCAAAAGCCTTCTTGAAAATCTACGCAGTTGTTTACAAATGGCTTCCATGTTTTGCCCTGTGATATGTAAAGAATAAAGTATAAAGATAAACTCACTGAAAGATCGGCCTGAAAATCTGCCTGTACTTCACAAAGGGTTCCATCTATTTCTTAATTCAGGCTGTTAAGGGGGGGCCACATTGTAGACCTTGCTAATTACAGATAGCATCGTCACAACTCTACAAAAGTTGTAATCAACGATGTTTCCCCCTTTTTAGTAGCTTGACAATTACTCCTCACCTCTTGGGGTGTTCTCAGCAGTCCAGACCTTGTGGAAAAGGCATGTGAGGTACATCATAACTACAATCTTGCCATGTTTCAACAGATCTGCTGGTAACTCATCAATCCCAGATCAGCTCTTGCTCTTCATGCTCTTGCTGGTTCAATTCTGTCAAACTTAACCATGGAGCTGAGGCTAGGTAGATCAAGAATCTCCCAAAAGCATTCTATCCACCTCACCTCCATCTCTTTGTCAGTCAAGCAGCATCCTGTCGTCCTTGCCCTTGATCGTGGTGTTGCATCTTCCATAAGTCAGCTCCTGTACAATCCTCTTCAGCAGCTTGGTATCAAAGCTAGGCCCAAGCCAAGTTGGGAAAGGAGGAGTGTTGGGCAGTGGCAAGCCCCTCTTTTTAAAAAGCTATCATCACTATAGAAAGAGCAAGGAGTAGCAGTGTTTGATCCCTGATGTCTGCCACTTTAATATTAGTTAATATGCTCAAGTAATTCCAAAATGCTTGACTAAAGAACGACAGATAGTGTTCTACCTCTTGTCCAATAAAACAACGAATAATACAGGTAAAAGTAATGAGAAAAATCAATTTTAAAACAATCCAGATTCTCTGCTTCCTGAATAATCTGTAAATAAACCAACGCTGTGCATTCAATCCAATACATGGATTCCATGGTGTTACACTAGACTGTCAAGGTAGGATAAATATAAAAGAGTGAGATTTCAGATCACGGAGGGTAATGGGCAACAAATAGTGATTATTTACTTGAAAGAGGAGACATCAAAATAAGCTATGCTTTTAATGCGAAATTGAGTATCAGTTATATGATGAGGGTCTGTGCGACATGTTTTGAAGATATAAACCGGTATTGTATTCTATCCTAAACCCACTTTTACGACACCCAAAATGTTTTTTCACACCCGCATCTTTCATCAAGCTCTCAAATGTTAGAATCTTAAGAGAAATTTACGACTAACATTTACAAATCGTGTAATTTCATTCAAATGCTGCAAAAGCTAACCTGATAAAGAACGAAATACTTTTCTTCGCTCCGAAACGTTTGGTGAGTTTTAAATACTTTTCCCTGGTTTCTCCATCCGCCATTTAAAACCGTCACTAGCCGTCAACCGACAATACCATTCCGCACAGAGGGGCGATTTAATAATCACACGCACTTAGGAATGCGGCTGTACAGTGAAAATTTTCGTTTACACTTTTATTGAATCTATTAAACGCAATTTGACTGTCTTGAATGTTTCTGTTGAAGAGATTTTTCAAAACGGTTCAACCTTTGTGAGGTATTACATCAACTCCCCTCCATGATATAAGTTGCACTGCCCGGTTTCAGCGCCATTTTCATTAACGGTTTTTCGCTTTGAATGTT